ATCCATATTTAGGGATAGAAATGCATCGAAGCTCTTGGCTCTTAGTGAGATTTGGTGGACTACTGTCTCAAGAGAGGCAAATACTTAATAATAGTAATTATATTTTGTATTTTATAACCCATGTGTCATCTCTTGTAAGCCTCCCAGCTATGTTGTGGAAGAATATTTACTTTCTTTTTTTTTTTTTTGCTTTATTTATTTATTTTTAATTTACCTAAAAACAACAACAACAACAACAAAAAAAAACAAGGATTAAACTCCCTAAAAGAGCACATGTGATTTATTCACATTCAGCATGTCAACAGATGATTCTCTTACAAGAACCAGATGGTTCAAACTCCCAGTCCAGTGCTTTTACTGAGATTTATCTCCTTGAAGTCTCTTGTGCTATGACGTGCAGAGCTGTGGGAGCTACTGGTTTATGTGGGAAGTTCATATAACCAGCAAACAGGCTCAGGGGAAAACAGGTGTGAGGACTGTAACTGAAGGGTCTTTAAGATGCTCTGCTGGACCAGCTGGGTGCATAGTCTCTCCTGGACTCACCTGGCTTTTCCTGAGGGCAGATACTCATTTAGGGGAAATAATGCCCCTGTTCAACAAGAAGTTCTAGGGTGTGTCTCATTCTGAACAGGGTCTTAGTCCAAGGACACACTCTGCCGTGTCTCTCTCTCTTTTTTTTTTGCGGTACGCAGGCCTCTCACTGTTGTGGCCTCTTCCGTTGCGGAGCACAGGCTCCAACGCGCAGGCTCAGTGGCCAGGGCTCACGGGCCCAGCCGCTCCGCGGCACATGGGATCTTCCCGGACCGGGGCACGAAGCCGTGTCCCCTGCATCGGCAGGCGGACTCTCAACCACTGCGCCACCAGGGAAGCCCTGGTTGCTTGATTTTTGAATATCAAGCCAATGTTGCATTCCTGGGATAAGCCCCACTTGGATGTGGTGTAGTATTTTAAAAGTATGTTGTTAGATTGATTTGCTAATATTTTGTTGAAGACGTTTGTGTTTATGCTCATGAGGGAGACTGGCCTGCAAATTTTTGTTTTATTTTGTTTTCGTTTTCTTTACTTTTACTATGAGAGTTGGTCTGGCCTCATAAATTAATACAACATTTCCTCCTCATCTAGTTTCTAGAAGAGATTGAGTAGAATTCATGTTATTGTTTTTACATGTTTTCTAGAATTTGCAAGTTAAACCGTTTAGGCCTGGAGATTTCTTTGGGGAAATTTTAATCTAAGAATTCAATATCTTGAATGTGAGACCAGCAAACTGTTTTTAAAGTCTGACAATAACACGTGTTAGTGAAGGTCTGGGACAAAAGGAATTACTCCACATTGTTTCTGGTTATACAAAATAAGACAGTCAATTAAATAAGACATGCATCATTATCCCTTAGATTTTCAAATACATTTATGCTACCCAGGAGATTTTTGCCATATAAAAAACCTAGAAAAACTTGCACATATAGACAACAAAATACTACAAGGATGTTTCCAGTATATATAATACAGCAGAGGCAAAATGAACAAACTACAGCTCCTCTAGCTTCCAGGTGGAGGACGAATAAGTTCTGGGGGTCTCTACTGCACAGCGTTGTGATGATACTTAACAATAATGTAGTGTATACTTGACAGTTGTTAAGAGGGTAAATCGCAAATGTTCTAATCACAAAAAAGTAGAGGTAAGATAAGGAAAGGTCTAACGACGTGCTTTGCACGTCCATATACCGTTTTTCCAACACCATTTATTTATTTTTAACATCTTTATTGGAGTATAATTGCTTTACAATGGTGTGTTAGTTTCTGCTGTATCACAAAGTGAATGAGCTATACGTATACATATGTCCCCGAATCTCCTTCCTCTTGCGTCTCCCTCCCACTCTCCCTATCCCACCCCTCTAGGTGGTCACAAAGCACCGAGCTGATCTCCCTGTGCTATGCGGCTGCTGCCCACTAGCTATTTTACATTTGGTAGTGTGTATATGTCCGTGCCACTCTCTCACTTCGTCCCAGCTTACCCTTCCCCCTCCGCATGTGCTCAAGTCCATTCTCTACGTCTGCGACCTTAGGTTCAGAGCCTAAGGTTCTTCAGAACGGTTTTATTTTTTTAGATTCCATATATATGTGTTAGCATATGGTATTTGTTTTTCTCTGACTTACTTCACTTTGTATGACAGAGTCTAGGTCCATCCACCTCACTACAAATAACTCAATTTCGTTTCTTTTTATGGCTGAGTAATATTCCATTGTATATATGACCAACACCATTTATTGAAGAGACTGTCCTTGACCCATTGTGTACTCTTGACTCTCTTGTCAAATATTAGTTGACTATACACGTGTCGGTTTATTTCTAGGATTTTGATTCTGTTCCGTTGGTCTGTATATCTGTTTGTTGTTTTCTATTACCATACTGTTTTGTTTTTTTTTTTGCGGTACGCGGGCCTCTCACTGCTGTGGCCTCTCCCGTTGCGGAGCACAGGCTCTGGACACGCAGGCTCTGCGGCCATGGCTCACGGGCCCAGCCACTCTGCGGCACGTGGGATCTTCCCAGACTGGGGCACGAACCCATGTCCCCTGCATCGGCAGGCGGACTCCCAACCACTGCGCCACCAGGGAAGCCCACCATACTGTTTTAATACTATATCTCTGTAGTATATTTTGAGATCAGGCAGTGATGCCTCCAGCTTGTTCTTTTTCAAGATTCTTTGACTATTTGTGGTGCCTGTAGTTCTTTCTTTTCATTTTCTGTCATCTCTTGTCATATCAATTATACTTCTTTTTAAAATTGAAGTATAGTTGATTTACAATATTGTTAGTTTCAGGTGTGCAGCATAGTGATTCTTGTGTGTGTGTGTGTATGTGTGTGTGTGTGTGTGTGTGATTTGCAGATTATATTCCTTTATAGATTATTACAAGATATTGGGTATAATTTTCTGTGCTATACAGTAAATCCTTGTTGCTTATCTATTATACATATAGTAGTTTGCATCTGTTAATCCCATACTTTTAACTTCTATACTGCCCCCTATCTCTTCCCTTTGGTAACCATAATTTTGTTTGCTATGTCTGTGAGTCTGTTTCTATTTTGTGTACAGATTTCTTTGTATTATTTTTCACATATAAGTGATATCATATGGTATGTGTCTTTCTCTGACTTGTTTAACTACACATAATATTGTCTAGTTCCATCCATGCTGCTGCAAATGGCAATTTTCATATTTTATGGCTGAATAATAGTCCATTATGTATATATATGTATGTGTATATATATACACATACATACATATACCACATCTTCTCAATCCATCATCTGTTGACGGGCACTTTGGTTGTCTCCATGTCTTGGCTATGTGGCTTTTCTTGTAAACAGTGCTGCTATGAACACTGAGGTACATGTGCCTTTTCAAATTATGGTTTTCTCCAGACATACGCCCAGGGGGCCGGATCATACGGTAGCTCTGTTTTGAGGTTTTTGAGCATCCTCCTTACTGTTTTCCACAGTGGCTGCAGCAATGTACATTCCCACCAAATGTGCAGGAGGGTTCCCTTTTCTCTGTACCCTCTCCAGCATTTATTATTTGCAGTTTTTGGTGTTAGCCCTGGTGACTGTACCGTGGTGATACCTCATTGTAGTTTTGCTTTACATTTCTCTAGTAATTAACAATGTTGAGCATCTTTTCATGTGCCTGTTGGCTGTCTGTATGTCTTTGGGAAAATGTCTATTTAGTTCTTCTGCCCATTTTTTGATTGGGCTGTTTATTTCTTTGAGTTTGAGTCATGTGAGCAGTTTGTATATTTTGGTCATATCGTTTACAAATATTTTCTCCCATTGCGTATGTTGTGTCTTCATTTTGTTGATGGTTTCCTTTGCTGGGCAAAAGCTTTTAAGTTTGATTGTGCCCCGGTTGTTTATTTTTGCTGTTATTTCTTTTGCCTTGGGACACTGATTTAAGAAAATATTAGTACAATTGGGAGTTCCCTAGTGGTCCAGTGGGTAGGACTCAGCGCTTTCACTGCCGTGGCCCAGGTTCAAGCCCTGGTCGGGGAAGTAATATCCTGCTAGAGGCGCGGGACGGCCAAAAAAATAAATAAGGCTATGAAAATACTGGTACAATTTATATCAAAGAGTGTTTTGCCTATGTTCTCTTCTAGGAGTTTTATAGTGTCATGTCTTTTTTAAAAAAATTATTTATTTTTGGCTGCATTGGGTCTTCGTTGCTGCACACGGACTTTCTCTAGTTGCAGCGAGCGGGGTCTGCTCTTCACTGTGGTGTGCGGGCTTCTCATTGCGGTGGCTTCTCTTGTTGCAGAGCACGCACGGGCTTTAGGCGCGTGGGCTTCAGTAGCTGTGGCACGCGGGCTCAGTAGTTGTGGCTCGCGGGCTCTAGAGCACGGGCTCAGTAGTTGTGGTGCACGGGCTTAGTTGCTCCGCGGCATGTGGGATCTTCCCAGACCAGGGCTCGAACCCGTGTCCCCTGCATTGGCAGGTGGATTCTTAACCACTGCACCACCAGGGAAGTCCTATAGTGTCATGACTGACATTTAGGTCTTTAAACCATTTTGAGTTTGTTTTTGTATATGGTGTGAGGGAGTGTTCTAATTTGATGACTTACATGTAGCTCTCCAGTGAATCCCACCACCTCCTTGACCTGCAAATGAGAGGCCACCTTCACTCTGCCCTTCATGTTGTGGGGCTGATTCCATAGGTGCCGTGATGACTCTAAGTGCTCCTAGAAATCAGCACCCAGACAGAGGCGAGGAGGGCACCTGCTCTTTTCTCCCTCTCTCAGCCGGACATCTTCCCCTTCATGCATTTCTTCTCACTATGACCACCCAATAGGCACCAGTGACCCCAGTTATACTTGAGACATGAAGCCCCCTCCTTCCTTCATCTCCACTCCCACCCCCAGGTCCTTCTGTAAAGGTCTAGTGGGGAAGCGTTAACAGAAGTGCAGCCCAGGACGGGGGAGACCGCGTCTCTTCTAGGCTGAGAGGACTCTCACTCAGCAGCCGTGGCGTTTGTGCGTGTGGGTGAGCGTCTGCAGCCCCAGTGCTGCCTGGAACAAGGACGGGAGGAGGACGCGGCGCGTCTGGGCCTTCACGTTGTTCTCAGCTCCACGTCTTGCCTCAAAGTTCAGAGCTGCCGCTCTTCTGTCTCCCTTCTGCACACACCTAGCACTGCCTGGACCCTGGGGTGGGGGGAGAGGGACTCCCCCTGTACTGTCCCTCCTCCGTGGGTGGGGCCGCCTGTGGCTGACGGCCCTGTGTCCCCCGTCTTTTCCTCCAGCTCAGAGCTGCCCCGGGACAGGGCTGTGGGCCGAGGGTCTGGCTCCTCGATGGATATGGGGAGGGGGCTCCTCGCCTGAGAGCAGGAGCTCCAGGGGTCGCCGGGCTGTGACATGAGGGAGGGGGAGGTGCTGAGTGAGCTGTAGCACGTGTAGGTCCCACTGTGGGCTGAGGTCACAGGACTCAAGGTGAAGCTGTTCTGAAAGGGTGGAGCCGTGTCCTGCAGACGAAGGTGCTGGGGAGGAGTGAGTGACCCCTCCTTGGACAGATGCAGTGGATCGGACCAGACCTCAGAGCCACACTGCAGGGTCACATTCTCTCTGCAGGGTCCTGAGGCCCACAGCTGGGCTGAGAGGGAGGGTTTCCTGTACATTCCTGGGGGCGAGGAAGGTCGGGATGTGTACAGAGCCACCCCCAACACACCCTTGACCCTGAGCTGAGGGACCACCATCCTCTCTCCAGGGACCCTGTCTGTGACCCCCTCTCAGCTGCTCTCAGCCCCTCTGTGTGGGTCTCTCTTATCTCCCGGCACCGCTCCATTTTCCTCTCCCTGGACCACTGCCCTATCTCAATGTCTGCTCTAGGACCCCTCCCAGGACCCCATCACCACCAGGGGTGGCTCTGGGCCCAGCACCCTGAGAACACAGTCAGGACGTGGGGCAGGACCGGGGCTGCTCACCGGCGATCAGGCTGTCTCCACGGAGCACGAGTGAGCCTGGCTGGGCTGAGACGGAGGGCTCCCTGTACACGCCTGCAGAGAAGGGACAGTGGCACCGAGGGGGACGCACACCCCACACTGCTCACTGGGGCTGCAGTGAGAGCTCTCCCTGGTCCCTCCCAGGCCTCCCGCCAGTGGTTCTGCCCCGGGAGGCCACTGCCCCTGACCCCCCATCACCCCAGGGCTCACTGGGCACAAGGCTCAGGTCAGGGGTCCAGGAAACGATGGGGCTGGGGGCCCTCACCTGTGACCTGGCGATGCAGAGGGTGACTGGGGTGTGACCACACATGTGCAGGGAGCTGGGAGAATCATAGCATCCGCAGGTTCCCCCACGGGAGGAGTTTAGGGGGCCCACAGGGCACACGGCCTGTCCCCTCCCATGGGTCCTCGATGTCCGGTGTCGGGCGGGTCAGCACCTCCCTCCTTCAGCAGGTGCAAAGTGCCCCCTGCAAACTGTGAGCTGCATGCCAGGGACACGCTCCCTCCTGAGGCCACCACAGGGCGTGGCTGGGCTGAGAGGGAGGGGCTCTGTGCACCCCTGAGGGAGGGGAAGGGGCTGGGTTAAAGGGGGGCCTTCACCCCGCTCACTGCAGGTGTGGGCTGGGAGGGGAGACGTCCGTCCCCCTGAGCCCACACTCTGCTCCCTCTGCCTGTAAGGACGCCGCCGCAGTGGGAGGGGACCCGGGTCCTCCCTCCTACCTGTCCCCACCAGGGGCAGGGGGGGCACTCCACTCTGACCTGTCTTTCCTGCTGCGATAGACACACTGATACTGCCCTGCGGTGCTTGAGCTCGAGGATTCGAAGGGGAAACTGGCCTTGTTACTGGAGTCCTGTGGGGCCTTAGCCTCCCAGAGTCCAGAGGGCCTCTCTCTATACAGATGGTAATCATCAGCCCTCAGAGATCCTGGAGATAAGATGGTCACAGGGCTTCCCTTGGCGACCATGACACCTGGGTCAGCCCAGATGGAGGGTTTGGTGAGGACCCCTGGAAAGGGATCCGACCAGAAGAGTTAGGGGTGCCCTTCTCCCCTCAGTTTCCCCAGCTGTCATTCCCCAGGCCCCTCCCAGACAGGTCACCATCATTTCAGACCTGCCGTGTTCCCCGCAGATGACCAGGGGGTTGTTGGGTTGAAGGAGGAGGTCTGGGGGGGGCCTCACTTTCTTGGACCTGGTTCCACGGGCCCTGACTCAGCCCTGGGAGAGAGTTCTCTGTGAGCGCCCATCCCCCAGCACACATCATAGATGCTCCAGGCCTGGTCTGGGCCCTGAGTTCTGGGGTCAGATCTGGGGCTGAGCACAGCCTTCCTCCCCCACAATTTCTGCCCCCACTGATCTCCTGAGACCTGGGGTCTCTCAGCTTCAGACCTGGGAGGAGAGGGGCCCCTTTCCCCCTCCCTTCCCCAAAGCTCACTGAGGCAGAGAAGGGCAGTGAGGGCCGGGGTCGTGGCTGTGCCTCCCATGGTCCCCAGCCGTGCTGGTGTCTCACAAAGTCCACAGAGCCAGACAGATGCACGGGGGGTGACAAGGTGCAGACTCTTGTTACACGTCGGGTTCCTTCATAGCAGCCTCTCAGAAAGAGGAATAGCCCCCCCCAGGGCCTCATGCTGCTCTACCTGCAGAATGGGGCCCAGGAGACAGCAGGCTCTGGGACTTTCCAGACCACATCTGGGTCTCACCAGACCCCACGCACTCTGCCTCTCCTCGGGCCAAACCCAAAGACAGAGAGTGACACTCTCTGTTGAGTTGAGGATGCAGGGCAGGGCCTAGGAGCAGCCCAGTTTTGGCTCCGATTCTTTCTCTTTTTTTTGGCTGCAGAAAGCTTTATTGCTTCCCTTCGGCCCAGGGCTCGGAGAGGGCTCCAGGGCGGTTAACAAGCTGCCCAGTGGCTGCAGGGAGAGGCTGCGGGCGGAAGCCCTGACCCCAGAGGGGCTCCTCACAGGCCGCTGGGCTCCAGGGGCTCCTAGTGGTGCCTGAGGCTTAGCCTTTGGAAGAGACACTCGCCAGCCCAGCCTGGCGGCCGAGCAGCCTGCGGAGGTTGGTCAGGCGGTCGCCCATCTTCTTGACGCGCTTCACCTGCTCGTCCGGGAAGTGGCTCCGGGAAGTCCAGAGGCGGAGTCTGCGCGGGCAGAGCCCGGGGCCTGCGGACCCACAGGGCCTGGTGCGGGTTCGTCTCCGTCAGCCGGGCGGCTTCCACGGCGTCCTGGGCTTTACCCACGGCTCCTGGGGCGGCTTCGGCACGTCCTGGAAGAGGGCGCGGCCACGGCGCTGCTTTTGCCTTTTCCGCTGAGCTCGGGCCCTCCGGCTTCTCCTCGGTCAGTTCGCGAAACGATGTCTCTCGCCCTCGCGAGCTGCTGCGTCGGGTCGGAAGAGAAGCGCAGAGACAGGTAGGTGTGGGAGAGCGGCAGAGGCACGTTACCAGGCGGGTGACTGCGGCCTCCACCTGGCGGAGTAATTGTGACGAATCTGGGAGCTCACGCTTGGTCGGCAACAAGGAGCTAAGCTCAGAAAATGGGGTTGGCTGGTCCCGGAGGCCGAGGAGAGCTGAGTGGGTGATTCCAAGGTTGTGACTGGAGAAAAGCTTTGGAGGGTGGTCAGAGTCTGGAGGAAGGGGCGCCCTTGGGTCTGTTCAGTCCAAACACTGTGGAAGCAAGAGACACATGTGTGCCACCGCCTAGCGCACTGCTTGGTTCCAGTTGTGATTTTGCTTTTCATAGAACCTGTGCGACCTTGGAGAAGCCCCTTCCCTTTCCCAAGACGCTGACAATGCAAAATTTGTTCCTTCCTTCCAACGTTTATTGAGCAGTTACTATATCCAGACATGAGATTCATTGGTGACGGTGACCGATTCTTTCCTTGGACTCATGGAGCTCTGATGATGACACCAGACAACACATATTTAGACAATAAATAATTTGGGTCTAGTTTTGTTCAGTTGTACGGAAGGAGAAAAACAGTGAGGCACAGTGACAGGTGGAAGCCCAGCAACCTTGTGATGGGAGTGTGGGGACTTTCTGGAGAAGGAGAGACCCAAGCTGATAGAGGTTAGCACAGGAGTGGTGAGGGGCCGGCACCCTGGGCCGGGAAGAGGGGGAGCTGTTCTGAGCACTGGAGTTCAGGGGATGCTGGGCCCTGGTCCCACAGGGTCTAGTGCACCCTGCAGGTGTGCCTGGATTTTATCCTTAAGACAAGAGGCTAATTTTCCGGAAAGGAAGGTGTGAACACACAGCTGTGCTGAGATGGTCGCCGCTCCGCAGGGATTGGACTGTGGGAGGACTGTGATGGTAATAAACAGTGATAGAGCTCCAGCACCATTTGACCACTAGGTGATGAGTGGGTCAGTATCTAAGTGGTTTATGAGGTTTTCTTATGTAACCCTTCCACAAATCCTACAACAAAATACATTCGCAGTTGAGTGGGATGAATCAGGAAGACTTCTAGGTGGTTTGGAAAGGGGTCTATAGTTTTCATAATCGGCTCAAAGATGACCCTTTGAGAAGACACAAGTGTGGTGAGAACTCAAGTGTGCATCTGGGGAGGGGAGGTGGTTAACTGGGATGAGCTTGCTTTGACGTAGGAGTTAGCTTCGCTGGTCCTGAGAGGTCAGCCCCTTCTGATCGTCAGCCTCAGGGAATGTCAGCTGGAGATACTTGGAATTTACTTGAAGGCAGGTGGAGACCCTGGAAGAATTATTTTTAGGGGAGGGTCCTGCAGTAGCTCAGGTTGGGGCCGTGAGAATCAAATTCCTCAGCTGGGAGTGAGGCCCTGGGGTGGAAGAGCCAGGAAGGAGGTGCTGGGTTGCACCAACCTGTCCTCCTGAGTCTGCCGCCGAGCTTGACTGTGGTGCTGGACCAGGGTCATGGATTCGCAGGGCTCCGGGCCAGGGCTGTTGGATGGGTTCATTGTATGTGAGGTGGAAGCGAGTGAAGCACTGAGGGCTCCTCCACTGTCTGCCTTGCTTGTCTAGCAGAGCCGGTGGGGCTGTCACAGAACGGATGACCCCAGTGGAGAAGGCGGCTCGGGGAGATATTTCTAATCCTGTCAACTGACACACAGGGGAGCCACCGCCTGCCTGCTGCACTGGGACCGCGGTTTTGTTTCTCCCAAACCCTTCCTCTCTCTGACTTCCTTGTTTCTATCCACAGCAGCACCTTCTGGTCATTCCTCTCCATCCAGACCTCTGAGTCGTTTCTGCCCCTCCCCACCTCTTGTCCCCCAGACAGTAACTCTTTTTTTTTTTTTTTTTAAATAAATTTATTTATTTATTTATGGCTGTGTTGGGTCTTCGTTGCTCCCTGCAGACTTTCTGTAGTTGCGGCGAGCGGGGCTACTCTTCATTGCGGTGCGCGGGCTTCTCATTGCGGTGGCTTCTCTTGTTGGGCAGCTCGGGCTCTAGGCGTGCGGGCTTCAGTAGTTGTGGCTCGCGGGCTCTAGAGCACAGGCTCAGTAGTTGTGGCTCATGGGCTTAGTTGCTTCACGGCCTGTGGGATCTTCCCGGACCAGTGCTCAAACCCGAGTCCCCTGCATTGACAGGCGGATTCTTAACCACTGCACCACCAGGGAAGCCCTAGTGGCTGCACCAATTTATATTCCCACCAACAGTGTAGGAGGGTTCCCTTTTCGCCACACATTCTCCAGCATTTATTATTGGTAGACTTTTTGATGATGGCCGTTCTGACCGGTAGAGGTGATAACCTCACTGTGGTTTTGGTTTGCATTTCTCTAATAATTAGTGATGTAGACCGTCTTTTCATGTGCCTGTTGGCCAGCTGTATGTCTTCTTGGAGAAATGTCTGTTTAGATCTTCTGTCCATTCTTAACTTGGTAGTTTTTTTTTCTTTTTGATATTCAGCTCCATGAGCTGTTTGTATATTTTGGAAATTAATACCTTGTTGGTTCCATCGTTTGCAGATGCTTCTCTCAGTGTGAGTGGGCCGTCTTTTCATTTCGTTTACAGTCTCCTTTGCTGGGCAAAAGCTTTTAAGTTTAATTAGACCCCATTTGTTTATATATTTTTTTAAAATTTATTATTATTTTTTTTTGCGGTACGCGGGCCTCTCACCGTTTTGGCCTCTCCCGTTGCGGAGCAACAGGCTCCGGACGCGCAGGTTCAGCGGCCATGGCTCACGGACCCAGCCGCTCCGCGGCATGTGGTATCTTCCCAGACCGGGGCACGAACCCGCGTCCCCTGCATCGGCACGCGGACTCTCAACCACTGCGCCACCAGGGAAGCCCTATATATATTTTTTATTTCCATTACTCTAAAGAGACGGATCCAAAAAAAATATTGCTGTGATTTATGTCAAAGAGTATTCTGCCTATGTTTTTCCCTAGGAGTTTTATAGTATCTGGTCTTACATTTAGGTCTTTAATTGATTTTGAATTGTTTTTTGTATATGGTGTTAGAGAATGTTCTAATTTCATTCTTTTACACGCAGCTGTCCGGTTTGCCTAGCACCACTTGTTGAAGAGACTGTCTTTTCTGCATTGTATATTCTTGCCTCCTTTGTCGAATACTAAAATTGACCATAGGTGTATGGGTTTATTTCTGGGCTCTCACATCTGTTCCATTGATCCTTGGGTCTGTTTTTGTGCCAATATCATTCTCTTTTGATTACTGTAGCTTTGTAGTATTGTCTGAAGTCTGGGAGGGTTATGCCCCCAGGTTTGTTCTTTTTCCTCAGAATTGTTTTTGCAATTCTGGGTCTTTTGTGGTTCCATATAAATTTTAGGATTATTTGTTCTAGTTCTGTGAAAAATGTCATGGGTAATTTGATCAGTATTGTGTTAAATCTGTAGATTGCTTTGGGTAGTATGGCCATTTCACCTGTATCAATTATTCCAATCTAAGAACATGGGATATCTTTCCATTTCTTTGAATTATCTTCAGTTTCCTTTATCAGTGTTTTATTGTTCTCAAAGTATATGTCTTTCATCTCCTTCATCAGGTTTATTTTTGATGCAATTTTAAGAGATTGATTTTTTACATTTTTTTCTGATATTTCACTGTTAGTGTAATGAAAAGCAACAGATGTCTCTGTGTTAATCTTGTATCCTGCTACCTTGCCGAATTAACTTATCAGTTCTAATAGTTGTTGTGTGGAGTCTTTAGGGTTTTCTATATGGAGTATCATGCCATCTGCATGCAATGACAATTTTACCTCTTTCCTTCCAATTTGAATACCTTTTTCTTTTTCCTTGTCTGATTGCTGTGGCTAGGACTTGCAATACTGTGTTGAACAGAAGTGGTGAGAGGGGGCATCCTTGTCTTGTTCCACAATTCAGCTGGAAGGCTTTCACCTTTTCACCATTGAGTATTATGTTGGCTGTGGGTTTATCATAAATAGCTTTTATTATGTTGAGACATGTCCCCTTTGTACTCACTTTGGTGAGTGTTTATCATGAATGGGTGTTGAATTTTATGAAATGCTTTTTCTGCATTTATTGAGATGATCATGCGGTTTTGTGTTTTTTTTTTTAAACATCTTTACTGGAGTATAATTGCTTTACATTGTTGTGTTAGTTGCTGCTGTGTAACAAAGTGAATCAGCTATGTGTATACGTATATCCCCATATCCCCTCCCTCTTGCGTCTCCCTCCCACCCTCCCTATCCCAGCCCTCTATGTGGTCACAAAGCATGAGCTGATCTCCCTGTGCTATGAGGCTGCTTCCCACTAGCTGTCTATTTTACATTTAGTAGTGTATATATGCCAATGCCACCCTCTCGCTTCGTCTCAGCTTACCCTACCCTCTCCCCATGTCCTCAAGTCCATTCTCTATGTCTGCGTCTTTATTCCTGTCCTGCCCCTA